TCTAAATTTTGCATGTTTTGAAGTGATTTAGGCCATTTTTGTTTAGCCATACCCTTTAAACCTGTCCCTATATATATTTTTATCCTTCGTGTCCCCATTGTGCCTTTTGTTTGTTCAAATAAGTGCTAAGCACTTATCCCCTCTTTGTGATTGTTTTCCTTTGATTTACCCCATTATTATAACCCTTAGCCCGTGGCCAAATATTTCCCTTCCACCCTTGAGAGAATGAAACTTTTATCTTTATCTTTTCCGTAAGAAGAGTTTTATGGAGTTGTGCTACGAAAAAAAAAGCAGCTAGTGTTACAAATGTTCAAGTGTGGAGGGCATGAAAGTTTGGATTAAAATTATCCTGCTATATCCAAAAGAAGTCCAAAGACAAAGAAAAGAATGAGAAAAAAAAAAGAAGATTGAAAGTTGAGTTTGGATCCCCACTTTACCAAAGAGTTGCTAAGTTCTTAAAAGAAATTTGCTCCTTGGAATTATGATTATCTCATCTCTTCCCAATTTTGAAAAGTTTAGATAAATTGTGACATTCTCTCTTTTTGATTAATTTTTCCATACCACTTCTTTGTTAGCTGTCACCCGTAGCTCCATTACAAGCTTAATAAAGTCCTATTTGATCTTAGCATGAATTCTTAGATTTGATCTAGGGGAGTATGAAGGGCAAGCCTATGGGATCTCATTCATGAACCGTGTCCTGCATAATCCCAACGGAGTATTTGTGCACACTTGATCCTCACATACTTTAAATTCTTGGTGCTTGGTTATTGGCTTGGAAATGTGTCTCTTATGTGCCAAACTAATTTGATTCTTGAAGCTTGTTGTTTTGTAGCAAGTGGGTTGGTGGTTTGAAAGGTTGTGCAAAAGAGAGCATGAGTAATTTGTATGTTTTGACTTGTGATTTCATTCCTTAGTTTTGCTTGAGGACAAGCAAAAGCTTAAGTGTGAGGGGGTGATGTTATCACATCTTTGCTTGTTTTTATAGTTATTTTGAATCATCTCAGTATTTAAGTTCTTTAATTTTGCTTATTTAATACATATTTTCCTTGCTATTATCATTTAATTATGGTTCACACTTGTTTTGAATGTTTTACGGTGTTTGTTAGTGTTTTTGAACCATTGTAGGTCAATTCTATGAGCAAGGGAAGTTCAAGGATGAGTTTGGAGCAATTTTGGACAAGTTCGGGGCCTAGAGGACTCGACGCGTCGAAAATTTCCAGAATGTTTTGTGATCGAGACCTGCTAGTCTCGACGCGTCGAGCGTGCGCCGCAACAATTCTTCCGAAGTCGCCAGCTACAAAAGGGCGTTGGCTTCAGCATATTCAATTCAAGATTCCAAATTCTAAATTCACACCTCAATTCCAAATCCCAATTCAACTTCAATTTTGAATTCCAATTCCAACTCCAATTAAAGGCGGCAATTTCTTTTAATTAATTATAGGAATTATAATTTGAGTCCAATTTTGTACAAGATTCCTATTTCATCTCAACTTTGTACCCACTATAAAATCCCTCCTTCCTCAACCCTAAGAACACCGAGAGATTTTTAGAGTTCTTTGTAGACAAGAAAGAGAGAAATCAAGAGGCTCAAGTCATCTTTGGAAGCAAGAAGGAAGCCAGGGAGATTTGGGAGAATCGCTTGGTTAATTCTTGTACTCTTTTGATGATTTGTAATCCTTTATTCATATTTGCTATGTATAATTTAGCCATGCTCGGCTAAATTCCTTAGGGATTTTTGGGTGAATTTGTTTATGAACCTATGTGCCTAGTTCGTTAATTTCTTAATATATTTATGTTTGGTTTTATGATTTGTGTTGCAATCTTGTTTTAATCTATTGTTGTTGGTAGTTAAAGGCCTAAATTACTAGCTTCACAGTCATGTTTGTGTCACCAATGGGAGTTGGGGCATAAATTAGGGCACACACGATTGCACCTAATGGTTGGTCCTTGGGAAAGGGGAACTTATTAGGGGAAGTTTATTCTAGATTATTGTTCATCGGGAGATGGTAGTAATTAGGAATAATTGAATGCTGATCTTTGATCTTATTGGGTGTTTAAGCCATGGGAGTGGAAATTCACTAGGAATAGAGATTACGGGAGTAATTCGATTCCACTTTGCATTCCCATACAAATCTTAATTCCAAACCAAATATTACAAACGTTAATTGGCACTAGGTGATTAAACATTGTGATCCCAAGAATCCTATTTTGCTCTATTGTCTACAAAACCTTGCTACTTATTTTATTCTGCTTGTTATTTTATGCAATCAATCAACCTTTAAGTTTTGTTCGGACTAGTTTCATATGAGTAACCTAGTAGCTAGTGATTAGTACCCCACCTCTCTGTGGTTCGACAACCCGAATACTCCGGGTATTATTTGTTTGCAAATATACTACGCACCACCCTTGGCTAGCTCTGAGATAGTGAAGAGTAGGGTGATTTGGTGGAATGGTGGCTAACCCCTATTTCAATGACTATTAACAAAGAAGAATCCATGTTGCGTTTTTATCACTTTGTATTTGTAACAATACTTAGTGGAACTTGCTTGGGTTAAGAAGAAGAGTGGAATAGAAAGTATTTTCTGAACCACTATAAAAATGTATTGGGTCAATCGATCTTTACTTTTATTGCGTATCTATTATCTGCGAACTAACTCCATACTTACACACACAAACATGTTTAGATCGCAAAAACCTAGCTACACATCTTTAGGCAAGCTAAAGCCTTCCGATGCGAAGAAACTTGTTTCAATTCCAAGCTTTCTTTTAAAACTTTGATTTCTAAATTCAAGCTCTCTTAATGGTATTCGAAAAAGTTTTTAATAGAAAAATGTTAGAGTGTCTGTTCATTAACACCCCCCCCCCCTCCCCTCCCCCCTCTTCCCCTCTAGACTTTCTGCTTGTCTGGATGGATCAACAATGTGAGTTTTTGAAGAAACCCGTCTTGTGACCCTAGTCAGTGAAGACAATGTCCTAAGCTTTTCTTCTTTTGTTGAATTGTCTCGTAGCAACCCGAGTGACTTGTTTAACTTTCTGTATCTTACAAGTTTATATGAAGCTCAACTTACTCAGCTCATACATGATTTTGTAAAAAAAAAAAAGTATCTAATACATATATAATGATATGAAGTGTTATGATTCTCGCATTTTCCTATATTTTATTACACCGTACCAAAATATATACTCTATTTTTCCAACAAATAATCAATTAAAACCACCTTAAAAGTCAATATAATGATCAAATGCGGAGTCATGAAATTAACTAAGGAACCGAATTATATTGCTGATCGAGTTATATTATGGACAAGTTGTGTGAAAAAAATTTGAGCAATAGGTTAGAAATCATTGTCAACCCAGAAAGTCATCTGGTGGCAATAATTGACTTCTTCTCCATTAGATTTCATATATATATGATATGTTCAATGTGCCTTACTTCAATTCATCACCAGTTTTCACCCCACAAAAAGAAAATAAAAATTCACTTTTATATCAAATTTTTTTGTTAGGTTGTATCCCAAATCCAGCATCCTACTATCGAAACATAATGCTGACTCTTAAACAAGTATAAAAAAATAAAGTTGTGCATTCACTATTAGTTAAAACTTTTGGCGATAAGCGGTTGATCCTAATAGTAGTCTTTTTTTTTTTTTTCAAGAAAAAAAAAAAAGAAGAAAAGAAAGAAATTAGTCATGCTTTGTTTGGAAAGCAATTATGCTCTTAAGAGCATACAATCAACGATAAGTTATTATTCATGCAGTGCTGATGAGATGGAACAGGTCTCTGATATGCTTATTATATTATTAGATAAACCTCGTTAAATTATAGACAAGTTGTGAATATAATTTCAGCAATTGGTTAATTAAGAATTATATGGTCAAACCCACAGAAAGTGAGATATCAAGAATTGACGTCGTCTTCTCCATCGGGTTTCATAGATATGATATGGTTAATGTGCCTTACTTTGTAATTTCTCTTTTTTAATTACAAGTAAACTTATTTGAACCGGTCTTAAATTAACGGGAAAATTACATTTTTCATCCCTAAGTTATAGGATAATTGTAGAAGTCATCCGAATGTTAATCATGCTCACTTTTCGTCCCTAAGTTATCATTGGCGTTGCACTTTCCATCCCTGAGTTATAGAGTAATTGTAGAACTCATCTCTGAGTGTTGTTTATGCTCACTTTTCGTCCCTAAGTTATTATTGGCGTTGCACTTTTCGTTCTTGAGTTATACTAAAATTGCAAATTTCGTCCCTAATCACTATTACATAAATGGTATACTACATCACTTAATAGATGGAGTTTTTTTAAATAACCACCGCCTAATATATTTTGTTATATTACGTCACTTAATAGATGACGATTTTTTAAATAACCACCATATATACCTTAATTATTTTTTTTTTACGTCATACACTTTAAATAACCACGGGCGATTTTCTTTACACATATATACGGCGGTTCTAATTTCGAAGTGTCGCACGTGTATGTGACTACCGTTGTAAATACACACTTTCTATGGCGGTTTTAGAAACCGCCGTGTACGTTAACTATATATGGCGGTTAAACAACCCCCGTGTATATACGACAGTTATTTAAACAACCATCATTTATTAAGTGACGTAGTATAACACAATATATTAGACGACGGTTATTTAAAAACCGTCGTCTATTAAGTGACGTAGTATACCATTTATGTAGTAGTAATTAAATGCGAAATTTGCAATTTTAGTATAACTCAGGGATAAAAAGTACAACGTCAATGATAGCTTAGAGACGAAAAGTGAACATGACCAACACTTAGTGACGAATTCTACAATTACCCTATAACTTAGGGACGAAAAGTGCAATTTTTCCTTAACTAAATAAGTGTTACAATTATATATTCAAAATGGGTATACTGTACGGCGTACGTCACGTACCATGATTTTTTCTTTGCAGATGCCCGCGTAAATTAGCTAGCTTGGTAAACAATATACATTATTTTATTATCACCTTTGCGTATATATAAATGGCACAGCTCAAAGAGGGAAATTCAGAACCAAAGTGTACTATTGAAGGAAGAAAATGAAGAATTTTTCTGTGATTGTTCTGTTTCTTGTCATTCTTAATGTCCTAGCAGCAGCAGCTTCATCTGCAGTAGAGAGAAAGGTTTCATATTTTATCTATTCTTTTTTTTTTTTTTTTTGTTAGACCGCGAGGTATCTGAATAGACTGTAACTATAGATCGAAGTCACCTTTAATCTCGTACTATACTCAGACTCAGAGACGGAGGCAGTATGGGGGCAGTGGGGGCAGCTGCCCCCACTCCCCCCACCCTACCCCTTTATATATATGTATGTATATGTCGACATATATAGCATTAAATGTTGTATAAAATATTTATTTATGTTCAAAATACTAATAGTTAGAGTAGCTTAGTTGGTAGAACTCTAAATTTACATTTGAAAAATGTATGGTCATAAGTTCAAATCTCATTACAAACATTTTTCCTTATCTTCACTTATTTATTTTTTAGCCTACTTTTATGAATCATTCGATTAACAAATTAAAATTTTTTTTAGTCTACTTTCTATGAATCATTTAATTAATGTAGTATACAAGTTTATATTATACTTCATTGTATTCAAATTACTTTATTTAATTGATTATGTTTCATATTTTATCATAAATATTTTTACATTTTTACATCACTAAAGTATATTTTTGGCTCTGACTCTAACTATCGTTTAATATATCAAAAACATTCTATTGTAATTTATAATATATTTTGTATTTTAATCTTATTATGACTGTGTGATATTTTGTAATTGATATTCTAACGTCATTTAAACTTCGCCCCCACTCAAATATTTTTCTGGCTCCGTCCCTGCTCAGACTAATCCCCGTTCTCAGTGTGCATGGACACTCACGCCAATCAAACTACTTTCTGTCTTTTGTTTTTCATGCTCAATATATAAATGTGTAAATATTTATGTGTGAATGAAGTTGTGTTTGGTTTGTTGTTATGTATGTGCAGGTTTATGTGGTATACCTTGGGGAGCACAGTGGGGGGAAATCTTTCAAAGAAATTGAAGATAACCATTTCTCCTTTCTCCACTCTGTAAAGGGTTCCAAAGAAGAAGCTAAAGCCTCTCTAGTTCACAGCTACAAGAATGTTATCAATGGCTTCTCTGCTTTGCTTACCCAAGAAGAAGCAGACAGGATATCAGCTCTGTAGATCTGAACACTTCCCACTATGATATGAGGTCATGCATACCAGTACTAGTTTTTGAGATGTTTGGTAATTAGCTGTTAGCTATAAGCTGATTGAGTTAGTGAGTTTGACTAGTTGATAGCACTAGCTGATTGTTGAAAAATGTTTGGTAAATTAACTGATAGCTGATTACATACAAAATGACTTTCTCAAAAAGCTGATAGCATTAGCTGATTGAAGCAATAAGTTGTTACAAAAAGTTAATTAATCAAATACTCATAAATATTGATTGTTTAACAAAATCAAAAAGTTAATAGTGATCAAATAAACTAAAATTGACTCATAAACTAACTATATATATATGTTACCCATCAGGCCTTTGTTGTTGATTTACCAAATTTGGTGTATATATAACAGAAATGGAAGGTGTTATATCGGTGTTTCATAGCAACCCCACAGAAATAAAGCCTCATACTACGAGATCTTGGGATTTTGTCAACTTACTCGAAGGAATAAATGGTAACTCAATTAGCGGAGGAGAGGATTTGTTGAGTAAAGCAAATGGTGGAAAAGATGTAATTGTGGGCATTATGGACTCAGGTAAGATATATATACCTGATTTCGGTAAATTATGATGTGGAAACGTATTCATCATGTGCATGGTGAACACAGGGGTAGATTCATAATTTTTATACTGTAGATTCATAATTTCTATGTTATAGAAATTATGAATCTACAGTACGGTATAGAAATTATGAATCTACAGTATAGATGTTATGAATCTACAGTATAGAAATTTTGGAGATCCATAATTTCTATGTTGTAGATCCATAATTTCTATCCTATAGAAATTATGAATGTACAGTATAGAAATTATGTATCTACAGTACGGTATAGAAATTATGAATCTACAGTATAGATGTTATGAATCTACAGTATAGAAATTATGGGTCTATAGCTTAGAAATTATGGATCTATTTCGTGTGGATCTACAGTATAGAAATTAGGTGTGTGGCCAGAGTCTCCCAGCTTCAACGACGAAGGTATGGAACCAATTCCTACTTCATGGAAAGGAATATGTCAAAAAGGTGTTGCCTTTAACTCATCTCATTGCAATAGGTGAGTTTTAATTTCTGATCTTTTAATTTATTATTTTCATTTTGAAAATCGTGTGAGACCGTCTCACGGATCATTGTTCATGTGATAGGTCGGATCAACATAAAATGTAATACGTATACTAGATGGAAAATGTAATATTTTAGATGAAAAATGTAATAATTTTACATCAAAATGTAAAAGTACGTATTATATTTATTATCATCAAAAGTATTACACTATCATTATAAGTAAGAAACATTTTATTTTTAATTAATATTACATTTTGTAATATAAGTATTATATTTTCATATTGGTCAACCCGTCTCACGGATAAGTCACTAAGGGTTGACCCTTACATTTTTGTATTGTTTTTTTTTTTTTTTTTGAAAACGTATTGTTTTCTTCTTCACGAACAAATCCTTTTATTTAATTTCTGTTTAAATTAAATAATAGGAAAGTAATTGGAGCAAGATACTATCTGAAGAGTTACGAAGCCACCTTTGGTCGTCTCAATCAGACCACAGACTTCAGATCTCCGAGAGATGTTAATGGCCACGGAACTCACACGGCTTCCACCGCGGGCGGCCGGAGAGTCAACGCCGCCGCCCTTGGTGGCTTCGGCGGTGGGACTGCCTCTGGCGGGGCACCACACGTGCGCCTCGCAATCTATAAAGTATGCTGGCCAGTTCCCGACCAAACCTTAGCAGAAGGAAACACGTGCTTCGCAGACGACACTCTTGCGGCATTCGACGACGCAATCTCAGATGGGGTCCACGTAATCAGCGTTTCCCTGGGCTCCATACCTAAACGACAGTATTATACACAAAATGGTATAGCCATCGGAGCTTTACACGCAGTGAAGCGCAACATAGTGGTGGCATGTAGTGCCGGAAATGATGGACCGACACCGTCCACGGTGGCTAATGTGGCGCCTTGGATCATCACGGTGGGGGCAAGCAGTACCGATCGAGTGTTTTCGTCACCTTTGAAGCTAGGAAATGGCATTATTATTGAGGTATGTATAACAACCCACTAAACCAGTATTAGTTAGTATACACTGTTGAGCATATAATCACTGTTGAGCATATAATCATTAATATGCAATCCAACAATTAGCTAAGACTTTTAGTTGAGATGGAACACATACTACAATTTGGTATCAGAGCTAGATCAAAGGTCATGGGTTTCAATTTCTACGTCACCCGACACGTGTTGCGAACCACCGCACACGTTACGCTTTTAGTTGAGATGAAATACATGCTTCAATTCACACTACTCATGCTAACGAAACTGGTTATTTCACCCTACTTTTTTTTTTTTTTCCTTTTTCCTCAAAAAAAGTAGGGGACAATAACCAGTTTCCTTAGCATGAGTAGTGTGTACTCTCATTCCTTTAAGAGTTGTCGGAAATTAAAAATTTCCTCTTATAAAAAAAAAATTAATATGGTTATTGGGCTGACTCGTGATTAGTCTGAGTATTTTACAGATTTAAAGGTGGTTCCTATAGTTAGGGGCAATTTATATCCTACACCACGGCGCGCGTTGCACTGTGCGCCCAGATGCAAAACGACGTCATTTTAATTTTTTTTTTTTTTTGAAATTTTCCGCCCCAGTGTATGACAGTTAATTTTTCTTTAAAAAAAAACCCATGTTCAAAAATGTACATAATGTTATACTAGAATACACATAATTGTATACATGAATGTACATAATTATATAACAAAATATACATACTCTTTTTAAAAGATAATACACATAATCTAACATAATACATAATAAACATAAACTTTTAACATAATACACATCAACTCTTAACATAATACACACAAATTTTCTGATTCGGATGTACATAATTGTATAAAAAGAATGTACATAACTGTATGAACAAATATACATAATTGTATGAACAAATATACATAATTGTATGAACAAATATACATAATTGTGTGAACAAATATACATAATCACAGCAACTTCCTACCGCGCCTCCCAAAACGACGTCGTTTTGGGAGGCGCGCGGCGCACAGTGCTACGCGCACCGTGGTGTAGGGTATAACGATTGATAGTTAGGGGTTACTCATGACACCTTGTGATCTAATAAAAAAAGTGATGGGGTGCAATTGCATGGATTATTATATGTTTCAATATCCGTGGCAACCGCTTAGGAGTGTGCCGCGGATTCTAATGTTATTATTATAATAATATTATATCCGTGGCACCCTTTCCGAGTGGGTGCCGCGGATTCGCATATTATTATTATAATAATAATATTTTCAAAGCACCTCTTTGTAATTGGTGTTTTAAAAAATTCTCTCTTTTTTTATCTAAGACACCTTCATCTTGAAGGTGTAATGAAAAATACTACTTATATTTTCAATTTTGTAGTAGTGATACTTGGATTTTGTTTACTAACAGGGACAAACAGTCACTCCTATAAGGACAAAAGCTATGCTTCCACTAGTTTACGCTGGCAATGTAGAAATTCCTGGAACCACCAATAGCACTACAACAGGGTAAAATGCATGCATATAATTAGAAATATTATAATTTTGGTTCTTCATTTATATTTAAGGTACACACTAAGAGTGACTCTTCTATGAGACTATCTCACAAATCTTTATCTATGAGGCGGATCGGGTCAAAATGAAAATTTAATACTTATACAAAAAATTGTAGCATTTTAAAATCAAAAATGTAAAAGTATTACATTTTTCTTCAAAAACATTACAATTTCTGTTGTGAGTAACAAACATTTTTATCCTGATTAGTATTACATTTTCTAATATAAGTATTATATTTTCCAATATTAGTATTACATTTTCATATTGACCCGACGACGCGTCTCACCGACAAGGATTCTTGAGACGGTCTCACACAAGTTTTTGCCTAGACTTAGTTCCTGAGTTGTATGCGTGAGAATCTTTAGGATCATGATTAGTTCCCCTACATTTACCACTCACAAACTTGCCACTTTGGTGTATCAAGTTTTAATTGGTTAAAATATCAAATAAAAAAGGGGGAAAAAAAACACAAACCAATTTAAATATACCACATTAGGAAGTATCAAGTTTGTGAGTGGTAAATGTAAGGGCAATAAACATTTTCTCAATATTTAACACCTATGTGTTAGTTATAGGTGAAGTGCCGATTTTAGTTACCTAGGAAATATTTCTGCCACCAATATGTCGTTTAATAAAGTGGCTGATTTGTTCATTCAAAGACTAAAATCACTACTTTGCACATAACTTAACGATTAAAAGACTTAAAGATGTTCATACATATAACTTAGGAACTAAGTCTATACCATCTGTATAATTCGAGGATCAAAAATACAATTTTTCAAATTTATTTTATTTCATTAAACTACATTAGACATGCATATATATGTGTAAAGGTGAGGATTGAATCTAGTAATATATATCTTCATTATTTCAGGCTATGTAGACCTGGTACCCTTTCAAGAAACCTCGTAAAAGGAAAGATTGTGCTTTGCCTTAGTACTACCATATCAGCATCGCAAGAGGTGCAAAGAGCTGGCGGCGCTGCTACCATACTAAGACGTCAATATAACGAAATACAAGTTCAAGCTTTTCTGCATCCCACAACTGTTGTTTTTGGTTACGAGTTAATTACAATTGTGAAATACATCAGGTCCGATGAGAACCCGATGGCAACTCTTCTCCCGGGGGAAACTGTTCTCGGGACCAAGCCAGCGCCTGTCATGGCTCCTTTCACCTCCGTAGGTCCCAACATCATTGAACCAAACATTCTCAAGGTATAGTTCTTTTTGTTCTTGCTAGAACTCAAATCTGTGACCTGATTGACTGACTCTGATACAACTTGTTAGGATCAAGTGCTTATTATTACGTCAAAAACTATAGCTAGTAAGAAATGCGTAAATTTATTTTTTTATACTGTCATCACACATTTTCGAGAGACATAGTGCTGGACTTGACCATTTGCTTGTCTCACCCAACAATTCTCTAACCACCCATTACTATAATTTGTTATTGCCACAACTTTAGCTTAGATCTGGCAATGATGAATACTTTATTTGGTGGGTTGCAGCCGGACATTACCGCTCCGGGACTTAACATATTAGCAGCATGGAGTGAGGCGTCTTCTCCGACAAAATACCCATTTGATCGCCGAGTGGTAAAGTACAACATAGTATCTGGAACTTCAATGTCTTGCCCACACGTTTCTGCCGTAGCTGCCCTTCTTAAGGCCATTCATCCCGATTGGAGCAGTGCTGCCATAAGATCGGCCCTAATGACAACAGGTATGCAATTTTTTTTTTTCTTTGAGTAACAACTGTGTGAGACCGTCTCACGGATCTTAATCTATTAGAAGAGTCGAATCTAAAATATTTGTTTATTATTATGATAGAAATTATAATACTTATTACAGAAAATTTAATACCCATTTAAAATAAATAAATTGTTACTTATAATAGATGTTATAATATTTATATGTGAAATTGTACTAATATTTAAGGTAAAAATGATTATTACTAATGATTAATATTGTAATAATAATAACGGGAAGTGTGACACTTAATTAAAAAGTGTAATTCTATGGTAAAATTGTAGTACCTATATGTGAAGTGTTACTTATGAAAGAAGTGTTATTTAATACCAATTTGAATTAAAAATAAACTGTTACTTATTGTAATACTTATATGTGAAATTGTGATACTATAATTATGGTAAAAATTAATTATTACTAATGATAAATATTGTAATACTTATAACTTAAATTGTGATACTTACACACCCAATTGTTTACAACTCGATCCGTCTCATAAACAATGATCTGTGAGACAATCCCACACAAGTTTTTGCATTTGTTTATACTAATTATCTTTTTTATTATTATTTTTGGATGCAGCAACTACTAACAACGTGTTAGGGGCACCAATATTGAACTCAACTGGATATTTAGCTACACTGTTTGAATACGGAGCAGGCCATATTTTGCCGTCCAAAGCAGCGGATCCTGGATTAGTCTATGATACAACTTACAATGACTATCTTCTCTACCTTTGCAATACAGGAGTTACTCTTGATTCTTCTTTCAAGTGTCCCAAAAACACACCCTCCGCAAGTAACCTTAACTATCCATCATTATCAATAGCGAACCTCCAAGGATCCATAACAGTTAAAAGAACTGTCACCAACGTTGCAAAAGGCAACTCGACTTATGTTGTCACTGTGGCACCCCCGCCAGGATATGTCGTTGCTATTTCTCCAACGATCTTAAGGTTTAGCCAACAGAGAGAAAAGCAAAGTTTCAACGTAATCGTCAGAACTAACGGTGTTGGAAAGAGAAATGGATTTGCCTTTGGTGGGTACTCATGGAGTGATGGGGTTCATGTTGTGAGTAGTCCAATTGCGGTATCATCAGGATAAGGTGACACCTTATTAATTCAACACGAGCAAAGAAATAATGGATAATGTAAGCATGCATTACTTTCATGGATTATTAACCGCAAATAATGATCATTGATCATGATAAATTACCTAAGTCTCCTATGACAGTCCTTTGTAAAACTGTCTCGCCAAGAAATTGCCTTTAGGGGGCGTTTGGTTCAGGTTATATAACATAACCAATGGAATGTGACATTCCAAAGCTCACATTCCGGTGTTTGGTTCATATAATCTTAGGGAATCTAACATTCCCAAGGAATGTCACATTCCCTCCACATAGGATTTTGAAAGAAATGTGATTCCCTTCAAAATCTTAGGTAATATAAGATTACCTTCGTTATGTTAGTTTATTATATATATATATATATATATATATATATATATATATATATATATATATATATATATATATATATATATATATATATTTGTAATTATATATATTTTTTATTTTGTTAGCATATAAAATAATTTTGTTAAGTTCAAGATTTTAGTTAATATTTTAAAATCATGTAATTATATATGATTCCGTTATCTTATTTATTTATTCTAATTTTTAAATTTATTAAAATATATGAAAATATGTTAAGGATATTATAGTGTGTATAAAAGATAACCCTAAACCAAACATGATTATATTATATAACCAAATTTTAACCAAACATAGAAATCTAACATTCCCTAAGGTAATCTGACATTCTGTGAACCAAACGACCCCTTTCCCAATAATCTAACATTCCCAGTATCTAATTCCTTTACTACAAGGATCTTCCACCTTAAGTGCACTACACTTTCGCATTGTGTAAAGTCCTATTTTTAATACAATAGAGTACACTTTCTAATCAACACTTTTTAACAATATAATGTGCATTTTAGGATATTTCTGAGAAATAGACTGTATAGTATAAAAGTTGAACGATAAAATTGACGATATTTACAAATATGCCATGCATTTTTTTTTATTTAATTAGAACCTTGCGATTTTTCCAGATATAAGGCTCAGATTTGTTCTTATAATCCAATAATGAAAATAAAGATTTTAAAAATACAAGAACACAAAATCAAGAAAATTGATTGTAATAAGGTTTTACGCGTTTAATTTGGATTATGTATATTATTTTAAAGTCTTACCTGCGTCGTCAGTGACAATATTCTTTAATTTAGCTTTACACTTGATGATCACAATGATCAAAAGTTATTTGTATATATTTTATCAATTATAAATCTTGCTTAATAGGATCGAAACAAAAATAAATGACAATCAATAAAATAAACAAAAAAAAATAGTCTTGAAAGAGATGATTAACTAAGTGAAGCATTACTTTCTTACTTAAATGCCATGAGTTTGATTTTATTGATAATCTTGTTGGCCGGAGGGTAGTGCATGGTGGAGAACTACATGATGCCAAGAAAATAGACTTCAACTAGTGGGATTGGCTGCGCTCTTCCTTTGAATTTGAGTAACTATCCAATTTTATTGTCATTTTCAGTGATTAACATTTATTGGGAATCATTTTAAAAGAGAAAACATCAAATTTTATAGTAATTAATGAAATAGCAGCGGATCCTGGACTAGTCTATGATGCAACTTATAATATCTTCTTTTCCTTTGCAACAGAGGACTCACTCTTGATTCTTCTTTCAAGTGTCCCAAACACACACCATCACCAACTAATTTTAACTATCCATCATTATCAATAGCCAATCTCCGAGGGTCCACGACAGTTAAAAGAACCGTCACAAATGTCGCAAAAGGCAACTCAACATACATTGTCACAGTAGCACCTCCGTCAGGGTATGTTGTTGCTATTTCCCCAATTACCTTAAGGTTTAGTCGGGAAAACAAAGCTTCAATGTAACAATTAGAACTAACGGTGTTAATAGGAAGAGAAATGAGTTTGCCTTTGGTTGGTACTCATGGACGGATGGGGATCATGTTGTGACTAGTCAAGTACAGTTATTAGTTCGATCAACTTGAGTAAAGAAATGAATGGTAATAATGAGAGCATATTGTACTTTTATGAATTATTAATCAGGAATAATGGTTAATGATACTGAGAAATTGATATTGATTGGACCAATAAATCTGTAGAGTTGTAATTTGTGATTATTTATATGAGAATAATGTCATTTTCTCAGTATTTATAATTTCTCACTTGCATTCTTCCCATTATGATTTGAGATAATCAGATAATGACATTATTAAAAGTGGGAGTGTTACAATAGCTAGGGAATTGAAAATGAAATTAATTTATTCAAATATATATTTTTGAAATGTCAAGAGTATTTATGTTAGCTTTTCAGATCAATTACAATTTAGAAATGTAATTTTTAATAGGAAAATGATATAAATTATCAACTGAACTTTATGCGAAAATATAATTAGGCCATTTAATTCAAAATATCTACAATTGTGTCCATAAACTGTCCAAAATTATAAGATTGGTGTGTAATGGTGGGATTGATTGTGGGGATTATAAGATTGGGCATATGGTTGGGGTGGTGGTGGGGTATGTTTTTGGTGGGGATAAGGGCATCCTCAATAGCAATGAATTTTTCACGGTTTTTTGGTGCCAACTAGGAGAGAGATGATGAAAACATATAAGAATGGTTACTAATAAATTTAGAATTAAATGATACAATTAATGGAATTAATACTATAGAAGCATATATAAAGAGATTATATGAACAAAATAAGTATTATATTTGTTAAAAAAAATGGAAGCAATAGAATATATAGCGGCTAAACCATTAGAATATAATAGAGATATTAATCAACATATTATAAGTTGTAGAATAAGTTTAGAAATAATAAAACAACGAGAAGAAGAAATATTACAAATAGATACTCAAATCATAAAAGCTTCAGAAGAAATAAATAGTTTAAATAATAGACTAATAAAAAAAGGAGAAGAAATTAGACAAAAGGATACACAAATAAGAACACTATTAGAAGAAAAGCTAAGAATAGAAAATTAGAAGGAAAGAGAAATAAGACAATATAAAAAGATTATAGAAGAATGTTATTTTCAAATTGATAAATTAACTTATGGATAAAGGAAAAGAAAAAATAATGGAAGACCCAGAAACACATTATCAAATGTATACTTATGAAGGTGGAGTAACACAAACTTTAACCTTTAAACCTGAAATCTATGAAAAAAAGAAAAATGAGAAAACACAATTTACTATTAATAAAATATTTAAAACGAAATGGTTTGATAGAAATAAAGACATAAGATATATAGTACAAAAACATGAAAATGCAATAGATATTACAACTATTAGTGGAAAAGCAAAAATAAATTTAATAACAGATGAAATATTAAAAAGAGAATTAGGAAAATTATCAAAAGCAGAAGCAAAGAGATATAGAAATGTTTATTTTGGAGCCATAGAATTTACTATAAAAGGATACTTTCAGAAAAATGTTGACACACCCATAGAAATATATATATCAGATTATTAGAATACAAGGAAATATATTAGATGCTTTAATAACGGTAGTAAGAGGAAATCTAATTTATCAAAAATTAAAATTTACAGTACAACCAGACTTTAGTATATCATTAGAAGATGAATATAAAGAATTAGCTTTAACTCTGTACTACAAATTACAAGGAATTAAAATGCCTCAAGGATGCAAAGTAATGAGTATAGAAACAAAAATGATTTATGCTTTAACAGGGAATCACCAAGTAAGAAAACAACATGAGATGGAAATAATAGTACCTAAACTATATCAAGAAATTTTAGAACCTATAGCATATAAAGAACACTCTAAAATTACAATACCTGAAGATATATATATATATATATATATATATATATATATATATATATATATATATGGATTTTGAAAGTAGAAGAATAAAACCAGTAGAAAAATTAATACCAATAGTACAAGGAAGTAAAATAAGCTTTCAAAAACAAATCATACCAAGACCCATAGAATCAGGAAAAAACAAAATTTATACCCAAAAAACTAGATTTAGTAAATAATCAATATAATAGACCTGATAAATTAAAAATAAAAGTAATAATATTTAATGGAATGATGGTAACAGAAGGAATGCCAACAATTACTACAGATACAAGTAATAGTTTTATACATGTAAGTACAATTAATGAAAAGGAATGTATTACGATTGAACCTCAAATATATAATTTACCAAATGATGAAAGGGAAATAATAGTAAACAAATCAATAATTTTAAAATTTAAGATAAAAGATTTAGAATATAATATTAATATAGGTGTACTAGAATATGATAGTCCTTATGAATTACTATTAGGAAATGATTTTTTAAGTATGATAAGATATAAAATAACAAATGAAGGAATAGAAATAAATGATCAAGGAAAAATTAGATTTATATATAGATTATGAATATATCAAAAGAAATAGAAAAGAAGGAAAAAGAATTAAAACAAATAAAAGAGATGATAGAAGAAAATCTAATAGTTTCACAATTAAAATATATAGAATATACATCGAAACAAGAAGAAATACAAAATGAAATTAAAGTATTAAAAGAAAAAAAGAATGAACCAAGAAAAGAATGGATAATACTTGAAGGAGAATGGAGAAAAAGAGTATATAAATGAATAGAATGGATTTAACTGAAAAAATATATCAAATATGGAATGAAATTGTAATAAAAGAGCAACTACAAAACATAATAAAAATATTAACTGAAATTAAAGAACATCAAATAAGAATACAAGAATTAAACATACAAGAAATTGTAAAAGAAGAGTTAACTAAATTATGGAATACATCAGAAGTACCAACCTTTAAAATGATATTAGAAAAATTAGATATATTAGACAATGGAGATAAACAAAAAATAGAAGAAAGGATAGAAAGTTCAGGAGTAAATAAAGAAACCATAGACCTTATACCATTAGAAGAAAAATCAGAAATAGTACCTATAGATGCTTGGAGAAGAAGTAAAGAACCAATTATGATAGATATTAGTAAGATGAAACCACAATTAACAGAACCTGTAAAACAAACAATAGAAAAATTGGCCTTACTCAGTAAGAAAGGAAAATTTTAAAATGACAGAAGAAAATAGTATAGA